AGTTTCAAATGAGCATGACATAAATTATTTGAATTGAGCATAATTCATTTTTCTTTTCTTTTATGTTTCTTTGTCAAAAATATTCGACTTTAGGTGATTTTAATTAGATAGAAATATCTTCCCCCCATTTACAAAGTCTAGGGCTCTGTAAATTTTTAGGGGAAAGAAACATAATTCATTTTTCAAACATATTTTATGTTCTGTTTCTTTATCACAAATGTTTGACTTTAGGTGATTTTAAGTTTCAAATCAAAATGACGTAAATTATTTGGATTGAACATGATTAGGATTAATATTTACAAAGTCGTTTTTAAGGTTTAGATGAAATCGCTTTCTCCCCCCCCTCTCTCTATATTTACAGAGTCTAGGGCTCTTGTAAATTTTTGGGGGAAAGAAACATAACTCATTTTCCAAAAGTCTTTTTTGTTCTGTTTCTTTGTCAGAAATGTTTTACTTTATGTGATTTTAAGTTTCAAATCAACGTGAAATAAATTATTTGAATTGAACATGACAAGTTTAATATCTACAAAGTCTTTTTTAAGGTTTAGATAAAAATATTTTTCTCCTCTCTCTCTCTCTCTCTATTTTTTTTATAAATGGCTTAAATATATTTATTATATTTCTTTTCGGATTGACTTTGAGATGTAATTTCGTAAACTCAAAAACTAAATTTGATTTGAATTTTATAAACTCTACTCGATTGAAAAATATTACTCCGGTGTAAATTATTTAATTTTGAATTATTAAGTTGAATTTGAGAATAAATTTGAAAATCTCCATTTTGAAAGAAATCAAGTTTAACCTAATAAAGGACTAAATTGTGGACTATGGAAAGTTGGAAGTTGAGGGCTAAATTGAATTGAAGTAAAGAAATCCATGTTGCATGGCAATTAAGCCATTAATTATTTGTTGATTAGTCATATGTCCATGTGTCACTCGCTATATTGGAAATTTTGTTAATTTGTTTAATCAAAGTATTTATGATTTTGGTGGCACAATGATGGTAAACTCAGGGTTTATGCTATGAAGGAAGGAGAGTGAAAATGTTGTTTCTCTTGAACCTTAAAATTCCTCCATTGCCGGCACCTACAATAAGGCACGGTTTCCTTGCCTTATTCTTAACCGACATTGTTTAAATTCAAGCTTATAAAAGACAAATTGTGGTGCTCTTTCAAAGCGGACGACCACTATGCCAATGGCACATGCAAATTTCTTATAGTTAGTTTTTGTTGCAAATTTAAGACATCTTAATCCTTTTATTTTGTGTTGATGTCATTATCTTGTTGCCTCTCCTCCTGGACAAGGGTCTCTTGCAGCCAAAACCATGGGAAGCTCTCCTTCGACCGTAACAGTCTCTGGAGTTGTTCCTCCAGAAGTTGTTGAGTAGTTGGTTGATAGTGCGGGTCAATGAGCAGATGATCAATTTATTCTTGCGTCCACATGGCTGAAACTTTTAGTATAATCCATACTTAGTTTTTGTGAATTTTTTAGTTCGGATGATGAAGGAGTAGGCCATCTTGGGTTCTATTACGTGGGCGTGGAAAGGAAAAATAAGTAAAAAAAAATTCTTTTAATTTTTTATGCAAATGATTGTAAAAATATATTTGAGTTCAAATTTTCTTTATATTCATACTTGTGCGGGAATTTAATCATCTTGATGGCATGATAGATGAAGAGGTGGAGATGGTAAGTACTTGTGCTGTCATTTTGATTGGTGATTTATTACTATTGAGATGGAAAAGTAGACGTCTTTCCCATAAAGCGATGTTATTAAAATCATGGTTTTTAGAATCAAATCGGTTAACAAAACCATCATATTATCAGTTTACTGGTTTAACCGATTGAACCGGTTTGATCGATCGAAAAAATCGGACGATGTAATAATTATTTAAAAAATTAAATAATAATATCAAAAATATTTAATAAAAAATAATTTTTTATATCACAATTTTACATTCAAAGCAAGTCATAACATATATAAGTTAAAAACCATAAAATCAAGTGAAACAAAATGATTCAAATTAACTACAACATAATATTTAAGGTAAAACATATTAAATAATAAATATAATTATATAACTATAATTAAAAAATAAATTTGGGGCTAAAAAAATCATAACAAAATGATATTGTTTGGTTTAATTTTTTTTTTAAAAACAATCCCACATTACTAAGAAACATAGAAGATCATTCCAACTAACTTCTATAAATAATAGAGGTAATTTAGAATTCAAAATCATAGAGCCTTTTGGTGAGCTTTAAGTGAACTATTCTTTCACTTCAATCAAGCTCGAATTTTAGGCTTCAATCGAGCTTCTAAATTTTTTTTTGAGTTCAAGCCTTTTCGAGTTCAAGTTTCAATATTATATTTCGAGTTCGAGTTGAACTTGATAATTTTTAGCTCGTGAGTTTGAGTAGAGTTGAGCTTACTTTTAAAGTTTTCAAGTTCGAGTCGAGCTTAACAATATTCGAGTTCGACTTGACTCGTTTAACAAACGACGTCGTTTGGTTTAATTTTTTTTTTTAAAAAAAAAACAAAATTGGCGATTTTTTCCGGTTTTCCCCGTTTTTCAGTCGGTTTGGTTTGAACGGTTCAGCGGTTCTGGCCGGTTCACTAGTAGCGGTTCAACCGGACTAGGCAACGATTCCCGATTGAACCGGCCGATCCGATCTGGTTTTCAAAACACTGATTAAAATACTTTTGTTGTAATACTTAAGTCATCTCTGGTCCTCATATCTATTTTAGTCCATCTTTATCTTTATTCTATAGATAAAATAGTAATTCATCTCTAGCGTTATCTTTACATTACCACTAACTCTACTTTATTCACAATATTTAACTATTATAATATTAATTTTACAAATATAAAAAAATCAGAAAAATACGAAAAATTCAAAAAAAATTAATATGATTATTTATCTAATTTAAATATATTTTTATCTATCTTATAATTTTATATATTTTAATTTTAAAAAATGTAGCGCAAATTATAGTGTCGCGCAAGATGTGGCGTGGCACTGTAGCATTTATCTACGATAGAATATTTTTTGGCGCAGGATTGGAGACTCTACTTCAGAGAAAATCTCCAAAGTAGAGAAGCATTGGAGATGCTCTAAGAGAATAAAAATCAAGAGAGAAGGACAGAAAAATAGCTGATGATAATAAATATACCGACATCTAATAGGACTTCTTGCTAAAGATAAACTTCTATCTAAAGACAACTCCCGAACTAAATAGGACTACTACTACATGTCTGCTTCTATCTAGGTTCCAACTTTTTTGCAATGCTACATAGCAACACATTCAAAAAGATTCATTTATGTAATAATAATTTATCCTACGTGTTTAAAATGAGAGTTATTTTGAAAAATAAAAATATTTATTTTAATAAAAAAATAGGATAAGGATATTATTCAAATAAAATAGATGTCATTGGAGAGTTAACCAATTCACTCAAGCCCTTTGAATTGTTTGTTAAGCTTTGAACCATGTGTATTGCTGCATTTGTTCGGCTAGCTCATTCACTCCATTCTCTTCATCAGTTACAAAAAGAGAGATGAATACCACAGGTCCACAGCAGCCACAAGGACAGATGCAGTATATAAATTTATAAAATTTTAGGGACAAAAAGATATTATTAATAAAAAAATACAAAAACCCCTCAATCCATCCTGACAATATGTATCTTTCCATTTCACTTCAATTCTTCTTCCTCCTCGAAGATCTTATTAATCTATGGGATTTGTTTGTGGGTGGCATGAAGGCCTACAAAAGCATCGGCATGGTGGGATGTTGATGGTTGTAGTTGCAGGAGGGACATGGCTGGCATGTTCAAGCCAAAAGCCGCTGTGATCTCCCTCTACTTTTCTTGAAGGTAAATCTATACGACCTTTTGATTTTGTCGAAGCAATGCTCAACTAGCATTACTGGAGGTGGATTCATTAGAAGTTAACGCAAACTGTTGCTGTGATACACAGCACAGAGAGCCACATGGGATTTGTGGAGCAACTTGTCGCAGATGCTCATAACTCAAGGGATTTAACCTCATAGTGGCTGATATTCTTTCAATAGGCCAATGGGGAAACCCATTACCATTAAACAGGTTTCCCAAGGTCGTCACCTAGTTTCAAATGCCAAGCTCCATTCACCCTGGCATAAGGCATATTACAACACAATTATTTTGCACATGAAGTTAACCAAAATAGTGATTGATTTGAGAGAGCCATCGATTATAATATCCAGAAAAAGATCTAGATATTTTCCTTCTAAAGTTACTTATATTAGCATATAATAATCATTTTAAGTTTATATTAACTATATTAATGGTATAATGCATGTCTAATAATGTAAAATGATTAAAATAGAAGTAAAATTGTACATAAAGTAAAATAATATATTACGCAAGGAACTAAACTACTAGCCTCCACGCGTAATGCATATTGCTATTTGGCTTTTCCAAAACTCCAAACCGATTGCATCTCAAATATCTCTTTCGGGACAAAATGGCAGTGTCTGGAAACTGTGATCATACCGTTTTATATAATACGATGGCGCCGCAGAATGGCCAACGGATTTTTCACTTTCCCGCTCAATAATATTGTTTAATGATTACCACCACTGACCGTTGTAGCATAAAATAGAATTCGCTTTACCATCCAAAGTCGACCACAACATAATTAAAAAATGTCAATGATTAGCTCACACAGAAAACCCCGGATGCAAGAAATATCTTTCTCACCCATGAAAATAAAAGCCACTGAAACAAATAGTTCCACTAAATCGGGAAGGCAAGACAGAAACGAGCAGCATCCTCGGCATGTTCATAAATAATAAAAGATAACAGTAAAGAGAAACATCAAGCTAAAAAGCAACCACTAAAATGCCTATCAAATCCAGAAATGCATCCACTAAAACCATACAGACAGAACCACAAGCATCGAGACAATGAACGACAATGAACGAATGATTAAGCTGATAATAACAATAAGATAGTAAAAAGAACAATCAGATTCTAATTGGAAATTAAAGGATTAATTCTCTACAAAAGGATTTATCTAAACCACTTAACTTTAAATCAAAAAGTACATATAGCAGCAGATATAAACATCTACAACTACTTGATTTCTGAAGGTCAAAGGAAACCAACAGGATTCAGAGGTACATTTCTTTCTTTAGATGACATGTTCCATCTAAGAGAATAAACATGGAAAACATCAAAAGCATTAACATAGGATTTTGATCAAACACTGTCACATTCTACATTCATTATGCTATCCTCCGAGGATCATCCCTACTCGTCATCATCTTCCTGTGCACAATAAATGAGAGAAAATTCAGTGACAGATAATGGCAAACCAATGATCAAATAAAAACAAACTGAAGCATTTGCAACTCACGTCTCCACTGCCATCCTCATCATCATCTTCGTCATTGACCTCAGACACAGACTTATCAGATTCCGCATCTTCATCTTTGGTACCCTCGGCCTGGAAATATCATCATCTATTTAGCTGCCCAAACAGAAGCATTCTGCTGAATGAATAACTTACTTACTGAACAAAAGTGAATAATTACCTGTCTCTTGTTGTAGGCTTTCATGTTCTTTTCATACTCGGCCTTCCGCTTCTCTGCTTTGGCTACATAAGGTGCTTTTTCCTGAACATATTAATTCTAATTCTATCAGAGAACACATTTGCATATATAGGTTTTGAAAGTTTCAAAGAGCACTTGTAAATACTCACAGCTTCAGACAAGCTCTTCCATTTATCTCCTCCAGCTTTGCCAACCTAAAATAGTAGGGGGAAAATTAAAACAAAAGAATGGACAAAAATTGTGTCTGTAAATCAAATAGATAAAAAAAATAGTGTCACTTACAGCAGCAACGGATTTGTTTTTAGGGTGCTCCTTTTTGTATTGCTCACGGAACTGCTCCCTAAAATACAAAAGGAAACAATAATTAGACGAGAAAATCAAATCAATCATTTCGTTTAACGGTCTTTCCTTTTAAAAAAAGATGAATCGCCTCAATGGACTTCTTCAATTGTAATTTTCAAAAATAACATAAACGACAGGATTTGCAGCTTAGAAAGGTACAAACATAAAAATAAATGAAAAACTGACAAAACCAAACGAGAACCGTTTACGATACGAAATAAGCGAAAGTTAAAATTACATGAAAACAAAAAAGGCGCTAGCAGGCCTCTTTGGCTTGTTCGGATCCTTAGCAGCCTTCCCCGATTTCTTTCCGGCTTTCGATTTCACGGTGAGCCTAACAACAAAGCCAAAAAAATTAGTAAACCAATTCTAAAATCACAATGCTCATTTAGATCTCAGATCTCAGAAAACGCGATCTTGAAAAGGTTAAACAAAAAAAAAATACAGAAACAGAAAAGTAAACAAAATTACTTGCTGCTCTTCGTCTCTGACTTTGATTTTCCTCCCTTCATGTTGAATCCTACAAATTAAGACCTCAGATCAGTTGAAAACGCGAGTGAATTCGTTAAAAAACGAGGAAAATCGACAAAAAAATGTGGAAAATCGGTGGGGAAAATACCTGGTTGGTGAAGTAGGATTAGGGTAAAAGGAGAGAAAAGAGAGGAATGAGCGGTGAGTTGAGAGTGCGGAGAGGGGGGCGAAAGGCGGAGATATTTAGTCGGGGTGCAAATTGAAATTCAATTGCACACGAAATGAAAATCGGGGTTTAGGCGGGATTTGGAATTTTCATGCCACGTCATCGATCTGTGTGCTTTTACGTGATTAGCTGCCTGGCTCCTAAGCTTATAACTTTCCCAGATTCACCTCTTGCCCTTTTGTGTTTCCTTTGTGCTTCTTCGCTCTCACTGCGGCCTTAGGTTTCTCTTCTCTCCTTTCCTTTTACTGACGCGCGTACTTTGTTTGGCAATTGGGTTAATTTGGTAAATTCGTGCCCCTATCCCCATAAATGTTATAATATCTCTATCATTTTATAACATATTGAGATTTAGTGGGCTGTTTCTCATTCGACCCGAGCCCAATCTATTTACTAACAAGATTCGTTGCAGTTCCCAATTATAAATCATTGAGACTACGAATCTATTCGAGAAATTAAAACTAGAGGTGGCACTCAATTTAAAATTGTTCGAGTGAAGAAAAAAAATGTTTGAATCCGAATAACATCAAACGTAATAAAACTCGAATTTGAAAAAAAAATCTTGACTAAAAAAACAAAGTTAAAAGAAATATAAATATAAATATAAACTTTATTTTTATTGAAAATCGTACGAATCAAACAATTTTAGTAGTAAGGGATTATTTTTATATTTTGAGATTTTTGGTTCGAGCATCACGTGTGTGTAGGAGTATGAATATCTATTATCAAATGATTAATAATCTTTAAACAAATATTAGTTTGTATTAAATGAATGGAGTTTTGCCCGGTCGATATCTCTAACCTTAAATTAGTGGGTTTCGATGGAAATCAAGTGATAATTTAGAGGTCTCCAACGGAAGCTGCTCTCAATCTAGTGTTGGGGGCAGCCTACTATCTTACCTTCCCCTTACCCCATTACATATGGGAATAAGAGACATCCATTTTACTTCTTCTTCAAAAAGCCTTGGTAGCCATTGATGAACCCTTCATGAACCTAACGAGAGAAAATATAAAAATCCTATAATATCCCAAGTACATGTATAGTCCAATGCCATATTTGGATATATAATTTGATACTCTTCCATCTGGCTATATCAATTGAGAGATTCAAGCTTGGTAAGGATGAAGTAAAACCCTAAAATAATATAGGATTCATCCAAGTTTAAGATTGATTGTGATTTTAATTTAGAACTCTTAAATGAGTCATTAAATGTGATTATATATGTTGTTAAGTTCAAGAAATTGTGAAGATATCCATAAAGAGTGAAAGAGAAGATAACTCAAGAACACGATAAGAAAGTGTTCTAAAACTAGGATTGTTGATGAGTGTAATCACCATATGTGTTTAGTTGTGTATATTAAAATGAAATATAGACGTGTTACCAAATTTTGAGGTGTGAGGTTTCGAGGTTTGAGATTTTTATGATGAACGGTACTTTAATATATTGTGTTGTGGATTTAACTATGAAAATCGACACGTCAAAGCTACAATGAAAATGGAAGTATGCTATTTTTTCATGTGTTAAGATAAGTTAAATGGATGATTTGTAACACTCATAAACTGGTCTAATTGAAAATCAAACTGAAGATGACACATTGATCGATCGAAACTTAATCAAAATTGAATTATAACTAAATCATATTATCCTCAATTAAATAATCATTAAACATCCATTTAGGGACTATATTGACACATGTGTAACACATGGAGTACGAATACAAATTAGAACATCAAAGGGCTTTTTTATTAATTAACATCAAAGGGCTTTAAAATTAAGTTATGTTTTTGTACTAAATCGTAAATTTTCAAAATTTTAGGAAACTTTTCAAAACTATTTGAAGAGTTTCGAAACTTTTGGTCTAAATACCCTAATGTAATCCTTGGTATTTTAATCCATTACGTCTAAAATTAACAATTATCTCTTTAACCACTAAGATCACTTTGTTAATCATTAATAAACCCCTAAAGTATACTTTAATGAACAAATAACTCAAATAGTCCATATTAACACTAAAGTGGCGTTTGGTTCGCTGGAATGTTTATGAGGGAATTAGAATCTGTGAAGGAATTGAAATCTGTAGGAATTGGAATCCAATTCCAATTACGTCTAAAATACCCTAATGTAATCCTTGGTATTTTAATCCATTACGTCTAAATTAACAATTATCTCTTTAACCACTAAGATCACTTTGTTAATCATTAATAAACCCCTAAAGTATACTTTAATGAACAAATAACTCAAATAGTCCATATTAACACTAAAGTGGCGTTTGGTTCGCTGGAATGTTTATGAGGGAATTAGAATCTGTGAAGGAATTGAAATCTGTAGGAATTGGAATCCAATTCCAATTACGTCTAAAATACCCTAATGTAATCCTTGGTATTTTAATCCATTACGTCTAAAATTAACAATTATCTCTTTAACCACTAAGATCACTTTGTTAATCATTAATAAACCCCTAAAGTATACTTTAATGAACAAATAACTCAAATAGTCCATATTAACACTAAAGTGGCGTTTGGTTCGCTGGAATGTTTATGAGGGAATTAGAATCTGTGAAGGAATTGAAATCTGTAAGAATTGGAATCCAATTCCATATTCTGTTTGGTTGGCAGGAAATGGAATTAGAATCCAATTCCATATTTTGTTTGGTTCGCAGACATGTCAGATGAATTTGATTTCAGTAATGTAAAATGACAGAATTACCCTTCTTATTTTTTTGCTTTATTTTAGTTTATTTTACAACTTACATGTAGTAATATATTATAAAGAATAAAAAATATTAAATTTTCATTTTATTGATTGACTATTCATTTCAATAAATTATAAAAATCATGCTAATAAATATTATAAGTTAAAATAATCGCAATTAAAATATGTTAATAAGTTACCAAAAGATAGAACAATATTTCGATACATTCCAATAGGAGTATGTTAATTAGTTATCAAAAAATATACCAAAAACTATTTTTATTCAATATATGAATTAGAAACTCGACCCGACTCGACTCAAAGTAATAAAAAAATATTTTTATTCAATAAAAACATTGACTTAATTGAAAAAATATATATAGAGGGTATTATTGTAATTATTACTAAATATATAAGGTAAATTATATATTTTTTCGGGTCGGTCCCCTTTTTTTCACCCTAAACCCGAACCCCACTCGACCTGAATATCACACTTAAAAAAACCGACCCGACCCGAACAAAATAAAGTTTCATCCGACCCGACCTGACCCGAATATATGAATTAGAAATCCGACCCGACCCGAAATAATAAAAAATTATGTTTATTTAATAAAAACAGTGACTTAATCTGACCCGACCCGAATTATATATATTTTCGGGTCGGTCCGGTTTTTTCACCCTAAACCCGAACCCGACCCGAATATCACACTTAAAAAAACCCGACCAGACTCAACCCGAATATCACACTTAAAAAACCCGACCATACTCGAAAAAAAATAAAGTTTCATCCGACCCGACCCGAATATATGAATTAGAAATCCAACCCGACCCGACCCGAAATAATAAAAAAATATTTTTATTTAATAAAAACAGTGACTTAATCCGACCCGACCTGAATTATATATATTTTCGGGTCGGTCCGGTTTTTTTTCACCATAAACCCGACCCGACCCAAACCGAATATCACACTTAAAAAAACCCGATCCGACCCAAACAAAATAAAATTTCACCCGACCCGACCCGAATATATGAATTAGAAACCCGACCCGAAATAATAAAAAAATATTTTTATTCAATATATGAATAAGTTACTAAAGTATTGATGATGATAGTATGATCAAATTTCAATTCCCTCCAACAAGGGAATTGGATTCCATCCATTTTTGGATGTAATTCACTTTCCCTCATTTGATGAAATTGAATTCCATCTGGGATTCCAATTCCCTTGAAAAACTTGAACCAAACATGAGAAAGTGGTGGAGTTGGATTTCAATTCCCACCAATTCCAATAGATTCCATCCAACCAAAGCCACCTGAAATACACCCAACATACATTTGATTCTCAACAAGAAAGCCACGTATACAAGTGTTCGTCACTTCAGTTCAAGTTTAAATCATTCATTTGATATATACACTCTATTATTTAAGCGTATTCTCACGCTTTACCAAATTTGTATATTAATTAATTACCCTTTTCTCAAGTTGTCAAACCTTTCCAGTTTACACAAATGCCATATTTTAGCTTATTACATATGTTTTCATTGGGCACTTATCAATAAACACAAAATTAATCATATATCTAAATATATCACATCGTGCATTTATTCATTTATCTATTTATGATTATATGTATAACACTTTAAATTCGATAAATAACATCTGAGAAATTTACGAGTATCATATTTGATCAGATAAATAACCTAATCTAAAAAAAATACGGCTCAAAATATCAATTTAAAAAATACATACAAAATTTAGTGCTCCTTTAATTTGTATAAACAAGGTTAATAAAAAATTACAAATTGACTCGTACCAAATACAATCCTTACTTATCCACTTAAGTAGTCATTTATTGTACTTGAAAATTTGCACTATGAGTCTATGACTCATTTGATGATGATGTTGTCACACCGTGATCCACAAAACATGAACCTGCACATGAACAAAACTTAATTACTCTACTATATTTCATGAAGTTCATAAATGTAAGCATGCAAGTTATATATATATATAACTTGACCATGTAAATGCCGAGTGCTTCGGGGTTCGAATCAATGCAGTCGTTGGAAACGGCGAACGGAGATAGTTTGATGCCAACTTTGTCATCACCGATCTCATCAACGACTGCTTCGACTACTCGTAGAGGGAAGCGGCAACGATTCTCTAAGCTCCCACCGTAATCTGTTGTATCGTTCACTCGGTCCTTCAACAACTGATCGATCAGGTATCCATTAGCTCCATGAATCTCTACTCCATCGAAGCCTGTAACATGAAATCATTAACTTCGGCTTTTTGGATAATACAGAATCAACTACTTATGAAAAAATA